AAGAATAAAAAATTAATTAAAGAGGAGATATAAAAAGTTAAGCTGAGTAAGATATGAAATGATAGTCTATCAATGAACCAAATGCTAAAGGTAAAATGGTAAATACTAGGTTAGTCACAGTAGTGCAAGGGTAGGTCATGCAAAGACCTGCAGATCAGGGACTTGCTCAAATACAAGTCCAGAAGTGGAGGGACTTCTAGGGGTGAGGGTGGAGGGTCCAGAAAAATATTTGTCTTCTGTTTATCCCCCAGGTATTAGGCTCAATGTAAGCTCAGAGGATAGCTTAACTCTTGCAGGGCTGTGGACAAATAGTAACTTCCAAGCATTTAGCATTCATCCAAACGCTCTGAAAATGTTACAGTATTTCCACAGACGAGAATATCAAATCTCATTCTTTCAATAAGCAAGCACATTTCTTGGCACTCACAAATTAATCTTAAATGGTACTTTGGCTTAGAAAAATCTCACCCTTTTTTAAAGGAGATGTGTACAATGGTTCCTTTTAAAGAACGATCCCCTCATCATCCTACATTACTTATCAGAAACTCGACCTTTCTTCACATAAAACGTCAAGTTTTTCCAGTTTCAACCAAAGCTCTGCAGTAGTGGTTACCACAATACCAAGATTCTTCCACCCCATCACCCAGCTATGCTGCCGATAAGGCTGTCCCAGGGAAATACAAGATCTGTGTTTCCTGGTGATTCACAACTAGCTCAGCAGATTTCTATCTATTTCTATCATTTTCTATCCATGTCTAAATGGATTTTGTCAACTTGGGAACTGACAAAATCAAAGGGCCAGATGCAAAGGACAGATCAAATACGGGGAAGGTGTGAACTGTGCAAGTACCCATACATTATTCCATCAAATCCCTTATCCCAGTGCATTCATTACTCCTTTGCTACTTTAGTTTTAAACCTTTCCCCCAAGCCTGTTTCTTCACACACATGCCTACCCTCTCTTTGGCCAACGCCCGTCATCTTGCTGTGCAGACCCACTGGCATGCCACTCTTGCAACCCAGGTCTTCTTAAATGGAAAATGTTGTTTTCCTTATCATAATTCTTCTTTTAAGGGGTGGGATAATTCCAAAATACTTGGAAGGAGACATTTCTCACGTTCTGGCCCTAAGAGGCCGACCACAATTTGTCCTGAAATCTAAACCAATTTCATGGCCAATACAAAAAAAAATTCCTAAGTAGAAGACATTATCTAATTAAATAACAGAGGACATTAGTATTCAAATCACAAACTCACCTTCTATTATCTAAAGTGCCCCACACAGAGAGGCCCTCAGCTGATGCTAAAGATAACCCAGCCACAGAATCCCTGACTGAATTGATAGGCTCAAAACAACATGAAAAGTAAATAATCTCTGGATGCTGGTGTGATGGTAGGATGCAGGAGACACGGACAATGCAGCTCCTCCGGCTTGTGTTTGGGGCGTTCCACTGTCTACTCTTGAAAAGAAAAACACATCGAGTTCTAAGTCTTTGACTTCTGGCTCACTATGCTCAGTCATTGAAAAGAGACTGGTCCACTAAACACCTATAGTCCTATACACCTCCACTATACAGGTCTTCTTGGAAAAGCTTAATCACTTCAGGACTGCCCTTTAAAAGTTAGGAGCTGCCGCATTTGTACAGCCGCTGCAAAGGCAGGGAAATTTCCTGCAACACTAGACACAGGTAAATAAGGAAACTGCATTCGCTCCTAGGCAGGGGGAGGGGTCTTCTGCCAGGGAAGAGTTTACATAATGCAACAGAAAACCAGTGAGCTCTGCAGACCTGTCAACGGAGATGCAAGGCTTGAGTGCCTCTCTTCCCACCATCTCTAAACACTCTCCAATATCCTGCTCTTCTCTGCCAAAGACCCACAGAAATTACACCTAAGAAGGTACAGTAATCTACACACGCTCACCCCAAGCTTTCCTATTCACTTTTATTATTAAAATAGAAAAACTAAGGAAAAATGAAAGAGAAAGAAGAAACCCCCCCCTAACCTCCCACTTCTGAGTCCAAAGTATGGAGTAACCAAACAGAGCCGGGGAGATTTCCCCCCCTCTTGAAGGGGCAAGGAGAACAAGGAGCTGCCTCAAATCTACACCACGCCCAGTATGCAGTGACAAGCCCTAAAAACTCTACAGCGGCCGGGGCAGTCCCCTTCGCGGCCCGACCTGACTCGAGCCCCGCGGCCCGGCAGCCGCCCTCTCCCCCGGCCTCTCACAAAGGAGAATGGTTCAGTCCAGAGCATCACCCAGCACCTGATCCCTCACAACCGGGGGACGGGCAGGGGGCGGGGGAGCGAGGAGGACGAGTTATTGAAACCAATTCTAAGAGCCTTAGCTTTTTCAAGGACTTCTGGACCAGCACTGAGGAGCGGGTGTGAGCAGAATCCTACCTGAACAAGTCCTGGTGCTTCCTTTCCAGCCAGCGAGCGTTTCAACTCACCCTTTCGGAGAACAAGGCGCCTTCCGGCGGAGCATGGCCAGGCCTCGCCTCAACCTAGCTTGCTAGTAGTCCATTCTCCTTCGGCTCCGCCCACCTACGATCCGCTCCACCAATGGCAGGGCCGAGGCCAGGCCTCTTCCAGCAGGGTAGTGTGAGCGCCATTCAGGAAGTCCCCTGAGGGTGGGAGGTCCTAAAAGGCTGAGAAGGGTACGTAGGCAACCACAGATATGCCTGATTGAAAAGAAAATCTGGCGGTATCTCACCTCTGACCGCTCATTTTACCGGAGTTCAGGCCTCTCGGAGTATTTTTTTGACCCCCGCCATTGGGGGCGCTCTAAACTGAAACTACATTTAGGTACCTGTTTCTGGGAAGCCATCTTGGGTCGGGCTAGTGCCTTGGGCACCGGGAGGAGGAAGGAGTGCTTGAAGAATTTGAAGCCCTTTTCGGTGTTCTGCCGGACTGCTTGCCTCCAGCCCCAACGTGCTTTATATAATCAGAATGCCCTTCAGTCGCCATGGGGAGAAACTGGAATAATGCTGAATATGGCTAGAGGCCACCACCACCCCCCTCTCATAGGAGTGAAGCGATCTCACCAAATCAAAGAAACAAAAATGAATTCTTGGAACGAGAGTGAGTTTTCCTGGTTCCTGGGATAGTCCTTTATAGACACCTCACTCCAGCACATGACCAACATAGGTTATGTGTCTATTCTAGGTGCTTCTAAGCCATACTCTTCACTTGCAAGTTTTCCAGTGTTCTGACTGACGGCACAAAGGGCTGAGTCAGTGGGAAATGAGAGGATTTAGGGAAAATTTTCTTTTTTAAAGGCCTAAATTCATCAATAGACCTAAACTACTTATGAATACAGATAGAGGAAACGATAGAGGAGAAATTATATGTAAGGAGGAGGGCCATTAGGGGACAACCTTGGAAACCAAATTGGCTGCAAAGGGTAATTTTCTAACTACTGCATTTAAATTGGAAAGGAAATAATTTTATTGTAGGTGAAATTCTCTTGTACTCAATGAGAAAGGTTTTCTGCTGTTTCTTAGTGAAAATCTCTACTGCTATTACAACTTGCAAGTTTTCATTTTTTTAACTTGTGAGTGAAGGGAGTCATTCCAGATCATTAAAGGAATTTCTCAAGGAATAACATATTTGCATGGTCTACATGGTAGGAGCTCAGAGACCTTAAGAAGTCATATGAGTCACTATTTTATCAGAACGGTGATAAGACTTGGCCAAATACATTTCCCTGTATATTGAACAAAATCTGTTGGCCAAATTCTCCCCTGGCTACTGCTGTCATTATATCAAACTGGAGGTTAGTATTAGGAGTTATCAAAACAATGTGTTTGTAAATGCATATACAGACATGATCCTAATACTTTCTAGAATAAGAACCTATTATTCTTCTGCTTATTTGGTACAAAATAAATCTGCTGTCGAAGGAACCAGTTAAGGCATCAGAGAAAGGGGAAAGGGTGTGCTTTGTCTAATAATTTCTGTCCCCTTTAATGATCTATAAATAGTATGATTTAAACTGCTATAAATGGTATGATTTCCAATGGTCCTGGCCTTCAAAAACCAATCAACACCCTTAATTATCTCATAACTACTATTCTTTATGTGGCAGTGGGAGATGCACTTTCTATAATTCTTCATGACCATTTCGCTCAGAACATCAGCAATGATCAACAGGTCACAAATTTGCCCAGATACTTTTGTTTCTCATGCTTCCCTTACAATTGGTGAAATACCCAAGTACAGAAGGTTATGAGTGGTGGGTAACAGAACTGGATGTGAGATTTAGGATTAAAAAGACGTGCTCCAAAACAGCAAAATAGTATCCAGTAATGACGGAAAGCAGCAGCTCTAGGGAGAATGCTGTCTTTGACCAACGCTCTAAGGCCTCCCAATCAATGAAGATTGTTTTGGTTGGTAAAGAAAATCTCCTGTACAAAAAATATAAAGTTCCATTTAGTTTTGTCCCTGGAGTAAGGGAGCAGGCTAATCCCAAATTCAACAGCCTCAAATCCTTTGTGGAACGAGGTCAGATTTTAAAAAACAAAACAAAAGCATAATCAAAGCAACACCCCAAATGTCTTCCAACTTGCTGTAGTGCAGTGTTAACTATTACTACTACTACTGAGGGCAGAATCCAGTATAAAATGACTGTTTCTCAAGAAGGCTTCTGGGGCCGGCCTCGTGGCTGAATGGTTAAGTTCGCCCACTCTGCTTTGGTGGCTGGGGCTTTCGCTGGTTCAGATCCTGGGCACGCACACGGCACCGCTCATCAGGCCATGCTGAGGCAGTGTCCCACACAGCACAACCGGAGGCACTCACAACTAGCATATACAACTATGTACTGGGGGGCTTTGGGGAGAAGAAAGAGGAGGAAAAAAGAAGATTGGTAACAGATGTTAGCTCAGGTGCCAATCTTAAAAAACAACAAGGCTTCTGATACCTTTGATACAACTCCCTAGGAGGACAGTATCCACTTAGTTTGGGATACAGTTAGAAATGACACATGAAATATGAGCAGCTTGGATACATGCATATATTTAATAATGAAACAATTCATCAACAACAAAAAAATTAGAAAAATTCATAAGACCTCAGTGCTGTGGAAGAGAACAGGACATCGGAGCAAAAAGATATAGCAACTGACCCAGAAGGCTGCATAATGAGTAAAGCAAAGGCAAATTTGGCTAGGCTAGTATTATACACTCTTGAAAAGGAGAATGGTTGGAGAAGTACCCACTTTTTTGACTGCTTGGAAACAGGCAGCCTTACTGTATGCTGCATGGAATGGAGGCAAGGAGCTAGGGAAGGGAGAGAGGAGAAGGAGAACAATTAAGAATCCAGGGTGAGCAGATGAAAGGGATTGAGACAGAGTTACAAAGAGATGACTCTAAAGCCTTGTGTTTCCTCTGCAGTCTAAAATAAACCTGTTCTAAGTCTTTAAGTATGTCAGTCAAATTCAGTGATCACATAATGAGTAGCACTAGGCACTAAAGGAATGGTGGAGGGAGAGGTTTACAAAAGTTAGGGGATAACATGGTTCCTACTGTCAAGGAGCTTACAACCTATATGGGGAGACAGATTCCACATAACTACAAAACATATTTACAAAGTAATATAAATACAAATAAATACACAGATGAATAAACAACATATGAAAGCTAAGGAGTACTGGGTCAATAATTGTGTAGATGTCCCTAGGTCAGTCAAAGAACGCTTTCTGAAGGAAAAATTTTTCGGACTTTCTGAGTATTGTTAGCAGAGAGTAGGGCATGTGCAAAGGCATAGGAGTAGAAGTAAATATGTCATGTCCAGTAAGCCAACTAGCTTGATTAGAGTAGAAAGTCTAAATAGATCTAGTTAAGAAGTGAGTGTGATGAAATAGTAGGGGTCTATTTGGGGTAAGATACTGCAGTGTTAGCTCTGGTCCCTAAAACAAAATGAACAGGGAAGGACTGTTTTCTTTAAGTAATGATAGTAAGTGGCCACAGGGCCAGGAACAACTCCACTGCTCTCGAAAGTTTTGTAGTTACTCCAAAAGAGAGAAACTAGCAATGGGATGTTAGAGAAGTATTCAGCATCCTTGAGCAGTTCAACTAGAAGGAAATGCCTTCTGCAAGAACCCTTACAAGTGGCAAGTGAAAAAACTCAAATGAAATTCCTAGGCAAAGGATCTATCATCCAAAGGCCAGCCAGATCCCAGGAATCTCAAGTGCTCAGGCAGAATGTCCTAGACCCTTGTCACCAATTCTTGCTGGGGAGCAGATTGTGAATGCTTATAAAAGAATTTATTTATTTTGAACTACTATGACAATCAACTTTGATTCTAACACGCTAGAAATTAAAATAGGAGGATGAGAAGAGCCCTAATCTATAGGGAATGCTCACGTCCCTGAAGAAGGACAGGTCAGTAAGGGCCCAAATTCTCCCCTGGTCTTTAAGTGGAAAGGCAAAACATCACACCTTGAAAAGAGGCTTTTCTCAGCCAAAGCAAGTAAGACCTCTTTCTTTAAGCCTATTGATCTGAAGTTGTTCCAGGAAGGAAAAAAAGAGTCCAGGCCAGATGTTCAGCAGCAGCCAGAGTTGGACCCTACTTCACGAGAGTTCCGCTGGGAGGTGCTGGATCCCACTGATGTTGAAATACACTGTTGGGGACCAATCTTGATGCCGTTTGCCTGTAAAAGAAAAAAGGCAACAGTTCCCACCTCAATGCTAAATTAAATGGGAGAAAGGAGAGGGATAAAAGGAGAAATCATTAATTACATTTTCTAAAAGCAGATATGACCTTGGCAGGTAACCATGTGCCCTAGACGGACTGTGGTGGAACAATAACCTTGTGACAGTAAAGATGAGATGACCAGCAGTGGTATAAGTATTATAGATGCATAGAAGGGACTTTTATACCCATTTTTAAGGTGACGGTTAAAACTTATGTTTCACAGCTATGTGCAGAACCAGGATGTGAGGTAAGAATAGGTAAGAGTAGGAGGAAGCAAGAGTTGAAGTAGCATATTAGCATATAATTCTTTTTTGTTTTGCCCCAGAGTTTGCTTTATAGAAATGGCCCTGCTAAGCAATTAAGAATTACACCTCCCTCATGTCCTAGAATAGTAAAAAAACTGAGGTTGAGAAGAAAACCTCTCATACTGTATAAGCCTTTTAGATCACCAACTAATTTCTTTAAGCATTCTGGGTCTCAGACTTGAGAGAAAAACAGAAAATAATGACAGGTTTCTGTGTACCTACATAAAAAAATCAAGTATGAATTGGTATAGCTTCAAATAATACAATGTTAAGGAATGCTTACATTCTAGGGAGCTTCCTATACTGTTTAAGACAAAGCAAAGTTAACTGTCAGCCCCCTGACCCTTTCTCACCTCGTTGTGGACATCAAATAAACCCTGCTGGATCTTCCTATATATTTCTTTGGCTGTGTTAATGAAGGCCTAAAGGAGAAATAAATTATATTATTAGGCTCAAGTTTAGGTAGAGAAAGGAGGAAAGGATACAAATATTATTCCTATTTGGATTTTTGAGGTAAATTAGGAACCATTAGGAGAATGGAGTAAAAACACAGAAGGTCCCCCAAAGTCCCTGTAAAAGCCATTGAGAGTAGCTTCAAACAGAGAAAAGGGATTATAGGGTATTTTGGTACCAACCCAAGATGTTCCTAAGGCTCCTAGGTTGGTACCATCTGCAAATAAAACAAACATGCTCTTCCCTCCATTTTTATTGTTACTTTGTTACTGAAGTCAACTCTAGGTTTAGGAATGACTACAGGAGAACTCATCAGACCATCCAACTAAAGTGATTTACAAGGAACAGTGGTGTCTAACCCACACTTACTAATTAACATTACCCAAAGCAAAAGTAAAACCTCAGAAATCATGGTAAAAGAAATGAGACATTTCTCTTCTAGGGAGACACACGGTCACTCTGACCACAAGGCATCCTTTCCTTACCCACGTCTTATAGGAGAATAGAATTCTGAATAAAAGGACAAAGATATGGCGTAATCTCTGAGAAGCTTTCCCTGCTTTTTTCCAAATAGTACCTCTTCAACATTACAGGCTGTTTTAGCTGAAGTTTCCATGAATATAAGACCATGCTCCCGAGCAAAGGCCTCTCCTTCTTCTCTCTTCACATCCCTACGGGACTCTAAGTCACTGAAAGAGATTAATTGAAGAGAAAACTAAAAAAAGATCCAAGTGAAAAAAGAAACTCTTGTTCTAAAAGAAACCCATAGCTGTTTCAACTGCCAGTTAATCCATAAAGAATGTAGATCCTACATGATACTCTCTTGTACAGGGCTACTGAAATCTGTAGCCTCTTGGAAAATATTCTTCAGATTCATGACAGCTGCTGCATGGTTGAGGATTATACCTTACTCTATTACAGAGAAAAAGCTTTATAAAGGGTTAGCCAAGCCCTATAGTTACTCAAGGCTTATGCCCTATACTTCTTTTTTAAGAGATCCAGCGAGAGCAAAGGAAAGATGAAAGGAAAATTCCAGTTCTTAGAATGTAGAAAAGCCATAGATGTCCCATCCCATAGTAATGAGTGTCTTCCTCTTTTACTAGAATCAATCCACAAGAAGAGAGAGAGCAAGAAATAAGGAGAACACAGTTGCTTAACTCTCACTATTCTCATTATTAACATGTTATAATAGCAGCTTACCACCAGGGAAATGAAGGATTCAGAGAAAATGATATGGATAAAATTAGGTGACAGAGCCAAGGACTGAGAAAGGGAATAAAGTGGCATGGAAAGACTTTATGAAAGACAGAATAAAAGGCTGCAGGACAAGGTAAGGATGGACTGTTTGGTTTTCATTTTTCAAATTGGAAATTTTCATTTGGGAGGTTTCCAGTTTCTCAACCATGAAAAAAAATCAAGGAGTAAGTCCATTAGAGAACCACAAATCTACAAAATGTGTATTTATTATTCATCAGCAGTGTGAAGACCAGGGGAGAACTATCCACCTAAATGTCAACACTCCCAAATTTGTACCTCTAGCCCTGATGCTCCTCTGAGCTCCAGATCTGTTTGTTCATTTGTCTGTTCTTTATTTCCACTCTGATGTGTAAAAGGCACCTCAAACTTACATCAAAATGGCACTTGATCTCCCCGACCCTGCACCAACCTGCTTCTGCCCTAGGCTTCCACATGTCACGGCACAAGCCAAAAACCAAGATGTTATTATTAACACCTTTTCCTCCTTCATTCCAAATACACAATCCATGTCAAAGTGAGATACTTCCAAAAGGTACCTTAAAATCATCCTTTTCTCTCTCTCTCCAGTCACTGCCACTGGACTGCTGCCACTGAGACCCCACCTCAACTCCCACTCCCCTCCAGGGTAAGCTTTTGAAAACGGATCAAGCCACTTCCCTACCTAAAACTCTTAAATGCTTCCTACTGTAATTAGAATAAAACCCAAACCCCTTACCAAGGCCTGTAAGTCCTATAAGACCTGGCCCCTGCCTACTTTTCCAACTTCATCTTGCACCATTCCCCCTTGACTCAGTCCAACCAGACCGGGTTTCTTTTAACACCATAAACATGCCAAGCTTCTTCCCAGTTCAAGGCTTTCACGGTTTGTTCCCCCATCTGATACTTTTTGTTTTTTTAATCTTTGCCTACCGAACTCCTACCCATGCAGCAGATTCCAGCTTAAATATCACTCTTAATCAAAAACACAGACCCTATTAGTCTCTTTCACAACACCGTTTTTTCCTTTCACTGCATTTCTCACAATTTGTAATGAGCCATAAATCATTCTATATTTAATATCTATGTCCCTACTAGACTGTAAGCTTCATGGGAGCAGGTGCATGACTCTCTTCACCTTGCACACTCAGGGTGTGGCACAGTGTAGGATACAGTGGGTTGTCCAAAAATCTGTTGAACCAATAAATGAGTACAATTAGTCTGCGGCCACAGTCCTCAAGGCACTCTAGGTACACTCTAGGCAGTACTATGAACTTACAAAGGTGCCACACGATACTTTAAGTTTTTGAGGGAAACATAGCAACACTCAACATCAGACCACCACATGAATTACAAGCTTAAAATAGTTTGCAGTGTTAACATCAGATCACCAGAGATTCCATTCAATATTTGCCTATCTTTGTGAAGCTCAGTTTTTGGCAGTTGCTGTGATAAAAAGCAAGCACTGTGCAAAAATCAATTTGGAAGAGGAAATGAGAGTGGCAGTGTCCAATCTTGATTCCAAAGTTTGAGAAGCTATGCAGTGCCTGACCGGCACATACAGTCACTAGTAAGTAATTATGGCTATTTAAGAATGAAATAAAAAAATCTTTTTCTTTTATGTTTTTCATTTTTCAAACAGTTACTAAGTTGTTATGACAAAAATACTTGTTCTATTTTTAGATCTAACTATTTAATAACAATACTGTTAGGTATTTCTTTTGGCTTATGAGTGCCATAGAAAATTTACTGAGGATAACAAGTGTTGGTGAGGATGTGGAGAAACTGGAACCCTTGCACACTGCTGGTAGGAAAGTAAAATGCTGTAGCCGGTATGGAAAACAGTATGGCAGTACTCAAAAAATTAAACATAGAATTACCATAAGATCCAGCAATTCCACTTCTGGGTATATACCCAAAAGAATTGAAAGGAAGGACCCAAACAGATATTAGTATGCCCATGTTGACAGCAGCATTATTCACAATAGCCAAAAGGTAGAAGCAACCCAAGTGTCCATCAATGGATGAATAAACAAAATATGGTAAATACATACAATGGGATACTCTTCAGTCCTTAAAAAGGAGGGAAATTCTGACATATGCTACAATATGGATGAACCTTGAGGACATTATGCTAAATGAAGTAAGTCACAAAAGGACAAATACTGTATGAGTCCACTTATATGAGGTGCCTAGAGTAGTCAAATTCATAGAGACTGAAAGTAGAATGGTGGTTGCTAGCTGGTGGGATGGAGAACATGGAGTTAGTGTTTAATGGGGACTGAGTTTCAGTTTGGGAAGATGAAAAAGTTCTGGAGATGGATGATGATGACGGTTGCAGAACAAGGTGAATATACTTAATGCCACAACTGTAAACTTAAAAATGGTTAAAATGGTAAATTTCATGTCATGTACATTTTACCACAGTAAAATTCTTTTTTTAACTGAGATACTAAGAGCACTATAAACCAAAAAAGTTTGGGGACCAAGTGATTCAATGTCCACAGAGTACCTAGAGATGACTCCTGGTACTTATTATTTATACAAATAAAATTTTACCTCTTATTTCCAATCAGCATGATAACCATGTTGGAGCTAGAGTGCTGCCGGGCATCCTCTAACCATGAGGTCAGGTGGTTGAAGGTTTCACGCCTACAGCAGAAAAGTTTAGAAAATGGGTCAGAGGCCCATTCAAAATGCCAAAGCAAGTCCAAATGTAGGGGAAAAGGGGGAAAGCTATATCTGTAAAGATAAATATTAGAGAGGCTCTTTAGCATTCTTACCAGAATCAGCAGATAGCAAAGAAAAAGATTTCGAGAACATGGGGAAGTCTTTCCCACCCCCCAGATCTGACTCACCTTGTAATGTCGTACACCAGCAGGGCTCCAGCTGCTCCTCTGTAGTAGGAACGGGTGATTGAACGGAAGGATTCTTGCCCAGCCTTTCCCACCAAATGGCAACAAAAATCCCAACAAAACCAGGTTATTGCCAGAGAAATGACTTGGTCACATGCCACTCTAACACAAAGGACTTAATTTTAAAAAAGAACTTCTATTAAGAAAAGAGAATTAAGGAAAGGAAACATGACTGCCCAGGGAGAATCCCAGGTGGGAAACGAATATTTTTCAGTGGGAATCCAATTGATATTTTGGGTGGATTTCAATTCTTCCTGTGAGACTGTCCATCAAATTGCTGAATATTTAGCATCTCTGGTGCCCAGTCACTAAATGTCAGCAGCACCCCACAGTCAGTGTGACAATCAAAGACATTCCCCAATATCCCCTAGGAGAGAACCACAGGAAATAAGACTAGAAACTTAAGAGTATTTTCAATTCCAACATCATGTTGAACACATCACATTAACCTTTCTTTTCTGTTTCTATTCTTTTATCTGTAAAAAGGACAATTATCTTAGAATGCCAATACTCTGTCTAATGGAAGTTTCATTCAATGGATCAATGTAGAAAGTTAGTCAGATACAAAGCACTTAAATTGGTATATTCTAATTGACCTTTAGTGTTCCACTAATAAAGGTAGGACTACCAAGATGTCCCTTGTTGAGATCTTGTCATGGCAACTAGGAATAAGGAACAGGGAAAGACGACCAGGGCTCAGGGCAGTTTTCCTAAAAAATCAGCTGTCCACAAGACAGACACTACATTATAGGTAGGAATCTCTTAAAAATTTCAAAATAGAAAACTCCAATATTCTAAAACATGGTATCTCTTTATGATTCAACAAAAATTAGTAGAATTTCAAAACAATTAGTAAAAGAGAGCAGACGAGAACCAGACCAGTTGCAACACAAGTGACTATCTGGCCACGTGGTTCTTCACATGTGGTTTCACATGTGTCAACAGAGCAGCGGCTCTCAACTTTCTTATTTCATGATCTAAACATGTCGCACATTACCACTTAAGGAAAAAAAAAAAAAAGCCAGCAAGCCAACACTTAGACACATTCATGACCATGACCATATCACTAACTGGCAGCTATTGGGTCTCCTAGCATCAAAACATCTACTTTTGGGGTCTGGCCTGGTGGTGTAGTGGTTAAGTTCACATACTCTGCTTCGGCGGCCTGGGGTTGGCAGGTTCAGATCCCAGGCATGGACCTAGCACCACTCATCAAGCCACACTGTGGCGGCATCTCGCATAAAATAGAGGAAGATTGGCACAGATGTTAGCTCAGGGCCAATCTTCCTCACACACACACAAAAAAAACCCAAAAAAACCCCAACCCATCCATTTTTGGAAATGGGAGAGGTTGAAGTTAAAAAGGCAAAACCTAGCTAATACCTGTCTTGATACCTATAGGCTTCACTCTTTGTCACTTCCTCAGAATATGTCCTATCGGCCTCTTCAGGCAGCCAAATCTACCTTTGCGGTAATATAAAAACCAGGGGATAGTAAGAGGAGAGTTGTAATACCTAATTGGATTAATACTGACAAAGAACCCTGGGCCCCACCAATGTAAGGAGAAAGGAACAAGTGGCAGCTCTTCAGAAGCAAGTTGGGACGTTTCAGAGGGATCTGGCTAGTGTTACCAATATCAGAGATGTGAAGTGATTCATGTTCCTACAATATGGTGAGAAGAAGAATCTGATCAGAAGGGCAAAAGGCTATTAAAATGCTTGGAAATACAACCAACAAAGTACAGGACAATATCATCCTAGTTAAAAGCACCTGATCAATCAGTCATCCAAAAGTGGTAACAACTCTGGAGAACACCTGAAAAGGACTCTATGCAAAAAGACCCTGGAGTAGCAAGTAATGGCTTTTAAGACAGACACCTGCCTGTTTTGGGGGGCATAGGGGTTGGGGGGAAGAAGGAGGGGAAAGGGGGAAAAAGAAAAAAAGTAAAAATCACTGTGCTCTGCTTGTAGCTATAAGGGCTTCAGCTCTCAGTTCTGAGAAGAAAGAGAATTAAATAATAAGGAAACAAAAAACAGGAAGAGATTTTACGTGAATATTAGGAATTATTTGCTAGCTCCCTTTAACTTAGAATAGAGACTAGGATATTATTTTCCTTAGGGGAAAGAAAGGTACAAACCAAATGAGACAATGCATATGAAGGCAATTTATCAGGAAGAAGCAAAATTACACTAAGTCAGGCTAAATTTTGGCAGTACGACATTTATCAAATTTTAAAATACGCATAACCTTTGACCTAGAATTTCCATTTCCGAACAGGCATTCCACAGAAATTCTCAAACATCTGCATAAAGACGTAGTAAATAAGAACGTTCAGTGAAACTTCAAAATGGTGAAAAACTGGAAACCTAAATTTCCATTAATGAGAGGATAGTTAAATAAATTAGGGTACAGACATTCTATGATTCTGTGCAGTGGTTAAAAGGAATGAGGTAGATTGAAATGTACCAACATGGAAAAGCCTCAAGACATGGAAGTCTTAAACCACAGGGAATGTTAAATAAAAAACCTAAGTTACACAGCTAGGACTACTTTACCACAATTCTACACACGTAAAAACTAACAAAAACAAAACTACTACCATATATTTGTATACGTTTAAATGTGTGTGTCTAAATGCAAAGAAAAAGTCTGAAAGCGTAAACACTAAATCATTAATAGTGGTTTACTCTGGCAAAGCAGAAACCAAGATTGGGAGGGAGAAGTGGTTTATGTGTGTGAGGGGACATTCAATTTTTACTCCATGCACTTATATTATTTGATTTTATTTTTGCTAGAACTCATATATTACTTGGGTAATTTAAAACAAAAATAAAAAGATATGACATTCAGAATTTTCAACCGTAACAGGTGGAAGTGAAAGCTTCCCTACCTTTTTGCTTTCATCTTTCCCCTACTCTCATTTCCACCATGAGCCCCACCCCCAGAGCCCTTTTCCCCTGCGCCAGCCTTGACTGTTATATTTGAGCTGTGGTCAGGGACTAAATTATTTTGTCCTTTCTCACCGTATCCCAGATTTGCAGTTTGATTTGTTTTCCATCAATGTTGACCATACGGGCCCCAAACTCCACACCTGTCAGCGAAGATCAAGAGAGAGAATATGATTTTCATGAACAATGGCCATGCTGAGTGAGAAGTTCACGCTTTTCCTCAATGTGCTAACAACTCACTCATTCTCTGTCTGCAATCAGTGCCACTAAGCCCATTACCACTGCCTACTTGCTCCAATTAATTCTGTGTTCTTTAAAGTTTCATTTCCCTCCTAGAATTAAAAACAGTGTTCTGTGGCTGGCCCTGTGGCCAGGTGGTTGGGTTCTCACGCTCTGCTTCGACGGCCCAGGGTTTCGTCGGTTCAGATCCTGGGTGGGGACATGGCACGGCTTGTCGGGCCACGCTGGGACAGCGTCCCACGTCCCACAGCAGGAAGGACCCACAACTGAAAAAGTATACAACTGTGTGCTGGGGGGCTTTGGGGAGAAAAAGGAAAAGTAAAATCTTTAAAAGAAAAAACAAAAAAACCCCAGTGTTCTGAGTGATAATGACCTCAGAAATGTAACCAAAAAGCAGGTCTGGGGATAAAACTAATTAAGTCAAATAGAAAAGATGAATAAATTTTTAGCAATGTTAATGCTTAAATTTGACTAGGTAATGTTTAGTTTGTAAATTTTTAAAAACATCTAAAAATTTTGAAAATATTTCCCAACATTTTCTCAGAGTCACTCTCGTGTCCTCTATATAAAACAGTATTTCTTTTTTGCAATTCTAGAATTTTTTGAGAAAAGAACCTATCTAAGAAATAAGTTCTCAAGAATGATAACTTTCAGATCTTCAATAATTCCCAGAGGTCATCGGAAAGAGCCTCCCTCTTAGGAATAGGGAAACACACAGTCTGAACAAAGGTTTTGGTTCACCTGGCATTCATCTTCTTTCAAGGCAATGCCATGACAAAACTGAAAAATCGAAGATCACTTGCATTAAAAATCTTGATCAAAAATCAGACAATTCATCTTATTTTCTTTTCTTTATACAGTACTTGAGGAATTCTGATTTCCAAGTAAGAAAAAGCACTAATCTAGCTTCCAATAAAGGACTGATATGTGCCTATTCAGTGACCCCATGCACAATATATCCGGAATCTCTCTCTCAACTCTGAGGTGCTATAGTCAATAAGAAATATATGAAAATTGTTTCTTACTATTTTAGGCTGCTTCATCAAGAAGAGTGATACCCTACTAAAAAAAGTCACTCAATTTTTTCTTTTTTCTGGACAACAGGAATAGAATTTCAATGGGGAACAATTAAAAAATAAAATTTTTGATTCCTTTTCTGCAACTTCCTCTAGTTACACACTCAGAGACCATTATATTTTGCGTCTATTTTCTATACAACTGCCTGTTTATCTTGGTACAGAAGGCTGAATTCAGAAAGAATCGCGGCCTATATTGGACACCGGGGAAAACCTGATTGATATTTCATTCATCTGCTTTAAAACTTGTCATTTGTTCCCATTACCTTCGGGTGTTTCAAAACTTGGCACCTTTTTATTCTCTAGCTTTATTTTTTGCCACTCTTCACTTCAAACTTCACACTCCAGCCATATTAAACTACTTTCAGTTTTCCAAAGGTAGCCTGGTCTCTGCCATTCCCAAGCCTTGCACATGTTTATTGCGTTTTGCTCTGATCACTTTTCCCTCCTCTCTACACTTTTGCCTGGATAACGCCTGCTCATTCTTCAATTTTCAGCCTTTCTTGAGAGAGGTGGAAGCCTTCCCTTCCCTCTTGCAATAGGAATTTACTCGTCAGGATCTGCTCCCAGCCACACCTCCTACATTGGAAGACTGTAAATTACTGGGCAGGCACAATGTTTGCCTGGTTCAGCACTGTATCATTAGCACCTATCACAGTGTGGGTGTTCACATGGTATGCATTTACAAACACATTTTCCTATTGATGCTATCCTCTAAATCCTTTTCTAACCCCATTAGTTATCTGTCTCTGAATAAGTCCCGTGGGAGCAGTAGTAGCTTCAGATTTCCATAAAGTAGGACTTTGAAGTGACAATATAGTAAGAATGCAAACTAGCGATTTTGTTCAGAAATTGCATCTGCATGGCAAGAAGGCTAGTTTTATATACGTAGAATCTTTATTTGGGCTGGGGTTATGGAGATTATAGGGAAGAAGTTGCTAACGCCCCAGCAGGCCATGCCTTGACACAAATGCGAGGGACATGTTTATATTTACCAGGATCACCAGTGCTTTTGGAACTCGACCATACTCTTTTTCTTTAAAAGGAAAGTTGTTAGTTTCATCTACCCTTTAATTCTAAGTCTGGGATGGCTCTTCAATTGGCTTCTTCCTCTCCAACACATAAAAAAATCCATGTATTGGTGATTACTTTGAAAAACGTGAGGTTAGCACTAATTTACCGCAAAGCGAGGTTTTGAATAAGTAGTTATGCTTCCGTGGGATTTCCCATAAAGACACAAATGGCATTTGGGGAAAAAAAAGTCCTACGGCAGCTGATCCATACCTCACACTCACCTCTAAAGCGACCTTTCAATTATTTACTCCCCATTACACTACTCCCCATGTATTAGCATTTGATTAACCACTCTTCATTTAACATAACTTTGGACTAGTTTAAAAGTAGGGAGAGGTAACTTTTTACTTCAAACACTGAAAGCTGCTAACTTTCCAGTTTACCTAGTTAGATTTTATTATCTGTTCTGGGACAGGTAGACGCACTTACCTATTGTGAGGTCGTGGACAGGCTGGAACCGCTTGTCTGTAAACTGCAGAAGGAGACATGACTTCCCCACACCTGAAAGAGGAGGGCGAGCGTTCTAGGAGTCACGCGGCCGATCAAACAGTCTGCCACTCCGGACGTCCCGGACTGGGGAAGGGGAGCCCCGAGCCCCGCCCCCGCCAGCCCCGCCCCGCCCCCGCCCGCTCTTCTCGAAATCGCCCAGCCCACTAAATGAGCCCCGCCCCCACAGCCCAATTTGGGAGCTTCGGATCCCCGCCCCAGCCTTGAGGGCAGCCGCCCGCGGGTTACCTGTGTCCCCGATGATGATGTACTTGAAGAGATAAGCATAAGTCATGGTCCCGTTTCCTCTGGATTCCGGGTCCGCCCGACTTCTACGGCCACTTACCTCCGGCCTCTCTAGCCACGCAATCTACCGATCTCCGGCCCCTCTAGTCCAGATCACGTCTCTATTGCTCTCCCCCGAAATCGTTTCTTGGTCAGAGCGACCGTAATACCGAGACGCAGCCTGCAGGGACTCCTTTAACACTTCTACGTGCCATGATACCACCAAGCTCCAGGGGGCGATAGGTAGCCTTTCCGTCCGCTCGGCCTTCCCGGGCCTGACTCGCAACAGCCCCACGGCGCTCCTTCCAATCAGTGGAGAGCGACGCGCGTCCTTGCGGAAGTGACGGCAGTTCCGAGCCTTGTGGGGGCGGTGGGAGCGATGAGGGGTCTGAGACGGTGATAGCCGTTGTGTGAAGATGGAGGTAGGAGCCTGAGCGCTAAGAAGGCTGGCGAGAGAGCGCGGCCAACAGAGTTGAAGCAGAGGCGGGAAGCCGGGGGGAGAGGCGGCCGACGGGAGGGGAGAGAGAGCGGGGTTTGGGGAGTGTTGTCAGAACGTTGGGGTCAATATCCGGCGCTCTGAGCTAACTCCCTGTTTCCCCTAACTTATCCCCGCGGCTTTCTTTTGGTTTCCAGTTTCCCGGAGGAAATGACAATTACCTGACGATCACAGGGCCCTCGCACCCCTTCCTGTCGGGGGCCGAGGTGAGCACGAGCTGCCGACGCTGCGCGGGGAGGGCGTGAGGCAGCGGTGGGGCAGGGTGGTGGGGAGGAGAGCGCGGACGCCAGGGACCGGGGGCTGGGAACCAGGGGCCGCGGTGGTGTGTAGGGAAAAGTGGCAGCTGCTTCCAGAGCCTTTGAGGACTGTGGGGAAGGGCTGGGAAGCTGCTGTCATCAGAAAAGCAGGACGTTGGAAAGAGCTAACCTATTTAAGAGTGATTCTGGATCGGAAGACAGAGTGGAATTGTCTCCTTTCGTTGGAGAGGAGTAACTAAACAGTCTTGGGGGATCTCAGCGGAAAGAAAATGTTTCAGCTAAAGAAACTGGGGTGAGAGGAGGAGTTTACCCAGCAGGGGTTAACTGTGGACATTTGTTCATTCTTGAAACGAACTCTGTTGAAGGGGTCTTTGTCTCATTTCAGCTTCCTACTCCTTGATGAAAAGAAGAGTTATGTTTACGTACATGGTGTTAGCTTGTTATGCTTGTGACAGGATAAAAGGAGATAATTGCCAGAAAACACGAAGGGAGTTGAGTAGAACATGTGTTTATGTTTGCCAGTGACTCAGAGTTTGGGCAGGTTACTTCACCTTCGTATGTCATAGTTTCCCCAGATGTCAAATGGCTGTAATAATAGTTTTTTGTGATGTGAAATAGAGGTAATGGTTATGGTGAGGTCCTTTAGTGGAAAAGTTTTTCGTGGCAAAGTTTTGGTTGAAATATTTTCATAATATAGATATGTATTAGTTATGGGCAAAAGAGAAAGATGGAACAGACAAAAATTAATCTCCTGGTCTTTGAGAAACTGAAGTCTTGAACTTTCTACCATCTTTTGGAGATTTTAATTTTTTTTCAAAAGTAGTTTGTATCATTCGCAAAAGTTTTTTACACCAAGAATTCTTATACCAAGAATGGGCTTATCCTATAATAAATCTTAACGTTTCCATGAATGAGAATTAGATTGACAAGAGACAGTTGGTAGTTTAACTTTTTTATTGCTATTTATTATTCTTCGCCTAAGCAGGGGAAAATATGAATCAAATGAACAGCAAATTTAGAAATGATATAAAATGAAAATCTGTTTGATGCTTTGCAGTCTCAGTGCCAGTTTCTTCTGAGTGATATGTCCATGGTTTAATTTCATTATTTGGAGTGTTGTAAATCTCACATTGGCCTCATCCACATGCAAGTGAATCATTGCCAATTTCTTCTAAATCAGGTCTCCACAATTTAAATTTCTTTATTTAGAGTGTTATAAATTTCACATTGGCCTCTTCAGAAACTTTCCAGGTTTGATTCTATCTTTGTTTTTACTTTTATGACTTTAAGAAATTAAAAAACAAAACTATTTTGCCAACAAGCTCATAACTAAATTTCAGTAGCTTCCTTTAGCCCAGGGATCTGTCTCCTTGTTAACAGTTCTCCTCCTTATTCCAACTTCTTCACCTTCCCTTCCCCTCTTATTTTTTTTTTTAAACATTTTATTTTTTCCTTTTTCTCCCCAAAGCCCCTCTGGTACATAGTTGTATATTCTTTGCCGTGGGTCCTTCTAGTTGTGGCATGTGGGACGCCGCCCCAGCGTGGCCCGATGAGCAGTGCCATGTCCATGCCCAGGATTCGAACCAACGAAACACTGGGCCGCCTGCTGCGGAGCGCGCGAACTTAACCACTCGGCCACGGGGCCAGCCTCTGCTCTCTTATTTTTTTTTAAGCTTTATTTTAATTAGTTTGTGGGTTTTGTCATATCTGGTCTTACTGTGAGCCACCCAAATATAACTTAGAACTAGGTAAAAGTAATATTTTAAAATTTTTCTTTGAGGAGAAGAATAACTTTTAGAGTTTTCTTGAAAAAAGATGTCCACAAAAGTACGAACCATAAAAAAATTGAAAAATTGGACTTCATTGAAATTAGGAACTGATTTTCATCAAAAGACATCAAGAAATTAAATACGGGCCGGCCCGGTGGCGCAACGGTTAAGTGCGCACATTCCACTTCACGGCAGCCCAGGGTTCGCCAGTTCGGATCCAGGGTGTGGACATGGCACCGCTTGGCACGCCATGCTGTGGTAGGCGTCCCACGTATAAAGTAGAGGAAGATGGGCACAATGTTAGCTCAGGGCCAGGCTTCCTCAGCAAAAAAAGAGGAGGACTCGCAGTAGTTAGCTCAGGGCTAATCTTCCTCAAAAAAAAAAAAAAAAAAAGAAAAATTAAATAGGCATGCCACAGACTGGGAGAAGATATTTTAATACATATACCTGCCTCATATTCAGAATACATCAAATACTTCTGCAGAGTAAAAGAAAGAATCCAATTTAAAAATGGGCAAAAGATTTGAACACAAACTTCACAAGAGAAGATATCCAGATTGCTATTAGGCATATGAAAAAGTGTCATCATCACTCATCAGGGAAATGCCAGTTAAAATCATAAGAAGATACCATTGCACACCCACCAGAATCATTAAAATTAAAAGACTGACAATTCCGAGAGTTGACAAGGATGTAGATAACTCTTAATCATTGCTGGCGAGAGTGTAAATTGATCCAGTCACTTTGGAAAATTGGCTCTATCTACTAAAGATAAACATATACCTAACCAGTAACTCCACTCGAGATATACATGAGAGAAACAAGTGCATTTATTCACCAAAAACACATATGGTCACAGCAAAAGAAAAGAACAAAGTACAAATAAATGCAACTTGAGTGATCTCAAAAATATATTGTGTAGAAGCAGCCAGACGTAAAAGAATAGACACTATATTCATTTTTCAATGAAGATAGAGAATAGCCAGCACTCAACTATGGTGATATAGCGCCGGAAGATGAGAGGATGATGGAAAAAGACTGGGCCAGGGTTCCACTCTGCTGTACCCAGGGTCACTAGGAGGCAGAATCAACTTGACGGCACTAACAATAACAAAAGTATGGTGATAGAAATCAGAATAGTTGTACCTGTTGTGAAAGGGAGGGAGTATTGACTGGGAAGGAACATGAGAAAATCTTTTAGAGTGATAGAAATGTTCTGTATCTTTGATCTGGGTGGTGGTTAATTGGGTGTTTACATACATAAAAATTCATTGAGCTTTACACTTAAAATTTATGTACTTTACATAAGTAATAAAATAAAAAATAATTTTTTAAAAGGTGTCCAGAGAGGAGGCCTTAGCATTTATTACAGCATTCCTTGAGATAGGAAAACTCTATAATCTGAAAGGAGTTTAATCTTTCTGTTTCTCTCATTCAGGTTGGCTCTTACATAATGATACTGTGCTTTGAGCACTGTGGAGAAAATAAGTCATAAAGATACCTATTCATAATTAGGAGAAGTACGTATAACATTGGAACCAGTTAATGATTTCAGTCTGAATAGTTAAAATTTTCACTACTATATCAGTTTTTAAGAACAATTGACTATTTTAATAACCCATAGTACTAGTGTACTGTTTAGTAAATAGGTGTTGGGTTAAAGTAAATTTCTTTAAAATGAATAATCTGCACAAGAAACCATTTAAGGAAATAATTGGATTCTGTGTTTTGGTATGGAGGAATATGAATGGGAGGAAAATGGTATTTTTTACTTTTTGGTTCTCTCAAGAGCTAAGCATCCTTGTTTATAAGCTTTAATTCCCAAACTGCTTCCTTTCTCAAAAAGGCCCAGGAATTTAACAGAGAAGGAAAAAAAAGCTTAGTGAGAACGTAGCCGAGCTGCGTCATGTTCGTATTTTCTCCTTGTGTATCCATATCATTTAGTTTTACTTTAATATTTGTTAGTTTTATCTTTGTTTTGTATTTGATAGAGTATGATCCAGTTATGTAGTAGATCCACTAAATAAAATAACTTTAGATTTCATTATTGGATTTTACCCATAATATTACAGATCATTTGTGGTAGTAAAAGAGATTTAGAGTGGATCCCTGTGTTTATTCTAGCATGTGGTTTACCCATCTGCATTCTTGATCATTACAGCTATTTTACTCTTCTTACTTAAAGGAAGAAACAAACAAATAAAACAAAACCCCCAAAACACCATTAAAGCTGTGGATACTGAATTACAAAGCTGTTTCCACATTCCAGGGGGTGGTGCATAGAAAGAATGCCTTGTTAATGCCATACAATGAAATCTCTGCATGTCTGGTTTTTAGTGTAGTCTATGAGAGCATTCCAGATGGTTTTTAAGGGCTAGTCCTTTTTAGAATACTGGTCTCTTGTTTTAGATATGAATTTTTATTCTTTTTCAGTTCTCATTGAGAAATTGTATCATTTTCATGTCTCCTCAGAGTTGCTTCTTTATTTGTTGTGGTAAGCACA